TTGCACTCTAACTGCAATTGCCCGAAAAGAAAGTCCAGCTTCCCGAAGTCCCACTATACGGCCCCTATCAAACTCACTAAGTTGACGAAATCGTACAGGTCTCCGTACTCTAGGCATCGTAACTGATCGTAAAAGATGTCAAGAACCAAAATCCGCCAACGTTGATTCTTTACTGCGGCTGAAATATTCATTTTTAGAGCGTTAGTGAATTAAAAAAAAGCAGTATAAAAACCGGAATGTCCAACTGATAATGCTGAAAATTTTTTCACTTGTTATTTACAGTAAGGTAAATACATTCACCCACTTTTATTAAAATAAAACCATTTAAACTGGGTGTTCGGATTTATATGTCACTTAGTATAGTATTAATTATTATTATTATTATTATTATTATTATCCTTCGCTAGGTGTGGAAATTGATGCTACATCGTTTAAGTCAAATTAGATTTATTGCTAATCAGACAGAACTTTTTAAATTCTGTTTTTTTTATTCACTTTTAATATTAAATGCTTGGTCTTTCAGGTAGATGATGGTATCGGTATACAGTGAATAATTAAATATGTCACTCAATAAGGTTTTTTTTGACGCGGCAGGATACCCCTAAGCCCGCTGTGCTTAATTACTTTTTTCTACAAAGCAGTGTGGAAGCATTTCAATTAACCGACACAGAAATGACAAAGCGGCCACATAATTTACTGTCGCCTCGTTCTCGGTGACAATTCCCTTTCTACGAATGAGCATCAGTTAATTCATATACATGTTGCTGTTTGGTAATTAATTTTTTGCACACAAAACACAAAAACTACATCCCAAATAAGGACAATGGAAAATGGAGTGCAGAATAATTAAAACAGGATAGTTATAACTCAGTTTTAAATACAAATCGATGTTGGCCATGCTCGGAGCTCATGAGTCACCACGCAAGTTGCAGTAAGACCAAATAAATAAAGTAAATACGAGGGCGGAGCGATAAGTACTTGACCTGCAAAAGAAAAACGAAACTTTTTCTAGCTCTATACACTGGACACAGCGATGCTCCAGCTTCCTTAATCCGTCTGGAAAATACGTTTTCTGGAGGTGTGCAAAGTAGGCCTTCATGGCAGCGAAAACCTCATTCGATTCAAATTTCTGCTAGGCGAGTGACTTTTTCATAATTTGGAAACAAAAAGAAGTATCTATATTAATGCTTTGGTAAGCTTGAATCGACCCTGTAACTCGCCATGAGCTGTTCTGTGATTGGACCCCCGATGTGTCTGGCATTAATGGCGAGCTTGAATTAATTGGCCAAATCAAGGTGACTGACGTGCCCTTAGAGGGATTTGTCTTTATAAATATACAGATTCGGATAGGGGACGCTATCTGAACGTGGTCGAAAGTTTGAGATGCTAATTTGTCATCTGCCTTAGCAAGAGGAATGTTAAATGACCTGAGAGATGTCTGGGACACTGAGGTCTCGGATTACTAAGACGAAGAAGGTAATGTAGAAGTAGCGCGACATGCAATTCGGTTAAACTAACATATGGGGTTGTCCAAAGCGGACGCAGGAAAGTAACCGCATATTAAAACAAGAAAGATTGATACTCGAATCAAGTTGGGTACTTTATTTTGAAGGTTCATTTATAGCATTTATGTATGAAAAATAATATCGCTCAAATGTTCACCAGGACTGGATTTACAGACGTCCACGCGATGGTCGAAATTTTCAATGACATTTTGCAACATGGTCGGTTCTATGGCATTTGTCTCGGCAATGATGTTGTTTTTGAGTTCTTGGAGGGTGGCTGGTTTGTTGACGTGGACTTTGCTTTTCAAATATCCCCATAAAAAGAAGTCCAAGGGAGTCAAATCGCACGATCTTGGTGGCCATGGCACATTTCCTCTGCGCGAAATCACGCGATCACCGAAGAAGGACTGCAATCGATGGATATTGACGTTGGTTGTGTGGCATGTTGCACCGTCTTGTTGGAAATAAACATCGTCCATATCCATTCCTTCAAGTTGCGGCAAAAAATAGTCCTCTATCATCACGTGATATCGCTCAGAATTGACGGTAACGGCGTCCCCGGTCGCATTTTCGAAAAAGTAAGGTGCGATGATGCCTTTTGACCACAATGCACACCACACAGTCACTTTTTGAGGATGCATCGGCTGCTCTTGATACTCACGGGGATTTTCGTTCGCCCAGATGCGGCAGTTTTGCTTGTTTACCGTCCCATTCAAAGTGAAATGCGCTTCGTCGCTGAACATGATTTTTGATGAAAAATTGGCATCAAGTTGGCGGTGTTCAAGGAGCCAATCTGAGAACGTTCGGCGCGAAAAATGGTCGGCCCGACGCAGCTCTTGCGTCAATTGGATCTTGTAGGCGTGTACATTCAAATCCTTGTCGAGAATGCGGAGCAAACTGGTTCTCGTAATGCCCAATTCTTGGGATCGACGCGTTGTTGATTGTTTCGGATCGTCTCTCACACTCTCCTTCACAACAGCAATATTTTCCGGTGTGCGAACGCTCCTTGGCCGGCCAGAGCCTGGCAGATTTGCCACAGAACCTGTTGCCTCGAATTTACGCACCAGACGACCGACGGTTATTTCGTTTGGGCGGTTGTTGCGACCGAAATGTTCACGAAGCGCGCGAAACGTGTTTTTTATTTTTGCACCATTTTTGTAGTGCTCTTGAATAACTTTAATGCGGTCTTCAATCGAATACGACTCCATAGCGATCAATGGTAAACATTCAACTAACAAAATGACATGTCGGTAACAGAAAACAAAGATGGCGTCTATGTCAAATTGACGTTTACTTTCCTGCGTCCCTATTGGACAACCCATTATTATACTTGAAGAAAGTGTACCTAATACTATATTTCCGCGTCAAAGAAAGTCTTTCTGCCCGCCGCACTACTTATTAATCTACCTTGAAAATGATACTGCCTAATGGATGTATATTAGTATACAGTGTGAACTAATTTTGTCTGACGGCTTGAGTTCAATGTGTAAGAGAGAGAAGAGCGAGAAGTGTATCGTAACAAAAATAAATAGTACCGTGGGGACCGCGCCAGACTCTCCTACTCGCCAGCTGCTTCTTGGCCGATCTCTGTTGAGGACCGTACCAGTGACTCACCTTCTAGATCGACGCTGAGTGTCCTCGAATAGTCTAGACTGCCGCTTTGCGGCTCGCCAGACTCTTCTCGAATCAGCGATGCGGACTATATAGTTCGACGGCCGGGAGATGGAAGCAGAGTAGGGTAGAGCAGAGCAGAGTGGAGTATAGTCAGTCATAAATAGTGGTGTATATAAATGTTCTAGCTAGTCAAGTTAAATAAATTACTGCATTTCTTTTTGTGGAGTCCAGTGTTTTAATCCACACCCAAAAGAACCCAGAAAAACGCTTCAGTATAAACAAATTAGTTAGAAAGAGATAGAAGCCGGCTGGATAGCGAAGCTCATCACCACGTTGCCTAGCAACGGTGACCAGCCAATCTGCCGCGTTGCCAATATGTTGCACCAGTTCCTTGAATTAAGATGCACGTTGAAAATATGCGTTAGTTTACTTTCTAAGTTCAAATAATGGTTTTATTTTCAGCATACACATTTTTGAATTGTGATTTGTGTCGAATCTGTTTAGAATCGATTCCGGATCGGTGCTCTAACAGCTCCATTTTAGGTCGAAGCAAATTGCCAGGATCGTCACAAATTCTGCAACATTGAATGATTGGTTCGCTTGGCAACACCGCTTCTCGTACATTCCACGGCAAGCTTTCCACCTACATAGATAATTAATGAGCGATTTTTCGGTATTTCTACCGAATGAGACCTTATTTACCGATATACCGAAAACGTGCACATTTTCCACGATTTTTTAAAATAATTCAGATAGTTTTCTACCGAAAAAGAGGTGAAACTAAAAATTAAGCTAGCTAGCATGTATTTAAAGAATGAGTCAAGCGGCATTATGACGTTGTCGTACGTCTGTCATCTGCTCGTGTGCCTCATAGGTATCACGTATCTTGAAAAGTGACATTATGTCGATTTTTTTGACATTTTATTGTTTTTTGTGTTGCCTAAACATCATGCAGTTCAGTTATCAATGTTTGGCTCTCATGTAATGTAAAATCTGCTTCAGAGATGGCATTACTGGAGGTCTAAGCTGTATGTTGTATACTACAGCTAGAAGTAAAGGGCGATGCATAGGCGCATAGTGAGGATTTGTGAGATTCAAAGCTAGAAGTTCGTTGCGCATCCACTTTTTCTTATCTATTCTTCGCGGAGATGAAAACCACAGACTACTTGGCTTCACAAAACATATGCAACCGATAATGCGTCTAGTTGAGCCACTTCTCCATAAATGGACCTTCACAACGATCCTAGTGAGCAAACGTCGAATGACTGTTTGCAGCCGAGAAACTACCTAGTCTGCAAGATGACATTTTATAGGTTCTCTTTGACGTTTTATAGGTTTTTTACATAATATCCGTGCCGGTATTGCCAGCCCGCAGGGTTATTACGTAAAAAACCTATATAATGTTTACAAAAACTAAAAAATGTCAACTTAGTGAGTAGATTGTTCCTAGTGCGTAAATAGTTTATTCCGCGTTTGCTCGCTCTGAGCATTGTGAGCGTCACCAAAAGCGTCATCTAGGGAGGAACGACTCAACGTCACGCTCAATGGCTATGCTGCAAACAAGTCACCCAGCATGCTTTGTTGGTTGCAGAATGCCGAGATAGTCTGTAGAGGATATCTCTGAGAAGATGTGACAAAAAGAAAATTGGATGACTGACAACGCAAAAGAAATTTCTATTAAATTTAAATGATATGTAGAACTCAAATACTACATTAAGCCCAAAACTCTACTAAAGTTTGTCAGTGACAGTTTTTGCACTGACTGATTCATCTATTAAGGGCGCTAAACCAAGAATTTGATACCCAGAAGCTTTTTTCCTGTACTTAGAGATGATACTAATCATTGGAATACTTCTAATACATGTTTTCTTTTGTTTACAGGTATTTTTAATGGTGCTACTCTGCTGAAGGCAATAAAACATGATGTATCTACCGCTGATTGTAGGATTTTCCTTGGTTGCTTTCGGATATTCTCAAGACCTTCAGATTCAACAATCAGCAACAACAAATGCATACAAAGGTAGGATTCTACGATTATCATAAAGGGTGTCCCAATAAGTAGAGGTGATTAATTATCTCGTGGACGCTTGGTGTTTACATGAGATGCTCCAGGTGGCAACGTAGAAGGTTCTTTTTTAATAAGACGTTGCAAAACATCTGAATCTGAACATTTTTCCCTTCAGATACAAAGATAGAATGTTGCGAGGTCTGTAAATTACAATTTCTTATAGTCACCCTTAAAATAACTTCCTTCTGAAACCACACAGCGCTGGAGATGGAACTCCTGGTCGTTTACAGCCATTTGAATGTTTTCGATTGTCTCAAAATTAACTTTTCTCCTATCAACCGACGATTGAACGCACAAGATGCCGGATTCTTTTGATATTTTCATCGGTTCGTGAAGATGAAGGCCTGCCGCTTCGTGGTTCATCTTCAATTTTTCTGAAAATGCCTTAAGCCACCGAAAAACCTGGGCTCTTGACAAAATACTACCTCAGTAGTCCTGAAGTTTAGCACGATTTTCCGTTGCACTGTGGCCAAGTAGTAAAAAAAATCGCTAAGGACAACCAAATCGCTGGAGCGAGTTCACACTTGTACTGATGGTGGACCACATGTTCTCCTGCCTCCCCTGCAAGCCCAGTATCTCCAGTGTTGCCGGATCGTACGCTACGTTGCCAGTCTCATTACCTAATTTACAAACCTCGAATTTATAAAACATAACTATTATGCTTCTGGTTAGTTAGTTTTACATAAAAGCAAAGTCCTGAGGTACGTATTGCGACACTCTTTATACATTGTACATAGTTAATTATCTTACCTCTGAGCACGTCATTGATTTAAATCGATAGTCTGGGCTGGAATGATAAAGAAGCAATTCAATGAAAATTGCTCACTACAGGTCTGACCTGATTAAATTAGACACGGTTCAAACTCTATTACGTTGTCTTTCTCTGAATGGATTCGTGCTTTCGTGACTACGAACACTGATTTTCACCAGCTAACGATCCCACTTCTGATGTTGAACATTTATATTGGTCGTCGAGGCGTATCAGCTACAAATGTCGATTGTTAGAAACATGAAGGGTGACATATATTCTCGCGCTTGTGTATACTAAACTCTGTCTTGGCGGCAAGGTAATCAAATATGTATATCAGGAATATTTGCGCATCTGTGGTTTGGATGAAAACTCGTTTTCTCGGTAAATCGGAAGCATGTATTTCGGATCCGATCTAGTTCTAGGTCCAAGGCGGCTATTTTTTATACACTTTAGGATTGTTTTATTGTACCTACAGCGCTTTTCAAAAAGATTGTCATCATCATATTTTATAAATGGATCTAGTTAGTGAGCTGAAATTACGGATGATGAAATTGATACGTTTTAGTGCAACACTGTCAGTTAAAAATGTCAAGATAGCGCCTTTTAAGCGCCATTTTGTGATATTTTTTGAATAGTACGGGGCATCATGTGTAATCCTCAATGAATATTCATTCCTGCAAAGATCCCTGTACCTCAAATTTGATATGTATCTAACTTTGTTAGGCATGATCCATGCCAGAATATCGTACGTCATACTACTGTGGAAGCATGCTTGGTAACTGGTGAGTATTGTTTTCTGAGAGACTGCATTTCTCAGATTACGTATCAGATGAATAGCTTTCATCAAAGATTTGGTAACATCATTTACATGTTGATCGCAACTCAAAGAAGAGTCAACGTACACCGCGAGAAACTTTACTGTTCTTACGTTGTTATCATTTTCATATAGTCATAGTCGACGTTTAAGATTTGTTTTCATTTAAGGTCAGCCCTTCAACAACAAACCAGTTCTCAATGTCCCTCTGCATTTTGATGGTTCATTATACAGGGTGACCAAATAGTGTGTGAAAGCTCAATATCTTCGTTACTATTAGAATTGCAGAAAGAAGTTAAATACATAAGTTGTAGGCAGAGCTAAGGGCTTACAACATAGATATAGACATACATAGTGTCCCATAAATTACTGGCAATATAAACTGTATTGTATATAAGTGTTTAATTCCATTTTTTATATATTAATTAATAGAATTTTTTTTTAATTGCATGACTGACGGATATTTTCCTGATAATTCCAAAATTATGGTTTTAACTTCAATCTCAGAAAATACTAGAGTTAAGTATAGGCAATGCTTCAAGAAACTGGAAGAGCACTACAAGACGCGTCGAATAGAGTTATAAGATACAGGGTGTTTGATTTTAATTTTTCGAGAAAATTACATCTTTTTGTTTTGACTCACCCTGTATGTCTCGAATGGGATATGTAAAGAAAAAACGTTGGATATGAATGTCTACCACAGCTTCCATCACTCAGTACACTAAAACAGATTTTATCTAAAGTGTGTTTAAGATACAATGGTTTTGACGAAAAAGTAGCCATATATTCCGAAATACCCATTACAAACCCCCGAAACTATACATTGGCAGAATGGCCAAGAAAAGGCGCTTCTAAGAATCAACAGAAATACAGGTTGTCCCATTTCAAAAAATATAAATTTATATGACCACTAATTTATGGAACGCCTGTATAGCTAAACATAATTTCAAGTTGTAGCTCTTAGCTCTGCCTACAACTCTGATTCAGCAGACGCTCGATAATGTAAACTAATTTAATCCAAGTGTGGTTCACATTATCGAAATATTTACATTAGCGAACGTGATTTATATAATATTTGATTTATTAAAAGAAACGTTTAATACATACTATTTATAACAAAATAAACAAATATTCTAACAGCGATAAGTATTTTTTTAATTAGAAGGAAAATAATTAACAATTTTTGTATGCGTAAATTTGCGCTTAGCATTGTCTTCCAATGCCTGCGCCCGTAATTTACGAAGAACTAAAATATCCGTGTATGAAACTTCTTTTCTTTCAGCCCAATCTAAAGCTTGGTTAAAAACTTGTATAGCTTGCGCGTCAGTCACTACACTTCTGACTTCAATGGGATCGTTCTCACCATCCTCACTGTCCATATCCTCCTCCTTATCAGCATCATTCGTCTGCTTATCTTCGTTCCATAAATTAATATCAGCAGGAGTACAAACAATGTTGGGATTCACTGTTTTCAATAAATCAACAACATCCAATGACACACTAATAACATTATCATTATTGGATCGCAAACGTTCTCTAATTACGCTTAAGGGGACATCGTCTTCTTCATCATCTTCATTATTGGTACAAAAGAGATTGTTCCAAAATTTTTGAATAGTTCGCTGGTTAAGTTCACTCCAGGTCATATGTAAATCTAAAACAGCTTCTCGTAATGTTACTTTTTTTAAAGCCTCAGATAAGTTTTCAGGATTCTTTGATAAGACAGACGAAAGTAGAAACTTCCTATAGTATAGTTTGGTGAGTCTTATTATATTCTGGTCCATCGGTTGAATTAACGGTGTTACGTTGGGCGGCATGTACATGACGGAAATTGACCCATCCCTGCTCCTCAGTTGTTGCTCGGGATGACGAATTGGTGCATTATCCAATAGTAACAACGCTTTTATTGGAAGCTTCTGTTGTTTTAGGAATCCTTTTACCTACAAATTGAAAACACATCTTCAAATTATGAATAGAGCATTTGTGATAATTGATTGTCATACCTGCGGGACAAAGCACCTGTGGAACCATTTCAGGAATATACTGCTAGTCATCCAAGCGGTTTTTGAACAGTCATAATCAACAGGGATATTAACATTTTTAAATGAGCGCGGATTTTTTGCTTTCCCAATTACCAGTGGCGTTATTTTGTGTGAACCATTAGCATTAGTGCAGGCTAGAAACGTTATTCGTTGTTTCTCTGGCTTTCGTCCCGGGGCAGATTCTTCAAATGATGCAGCATAGGTTTTCTCTGGTAACATTTTCCAATAAAGGCCACTTTCATCTGCGTTGTAAATTTGATCCATTCTTAAATCTAGCTCGGTAATTGTTTTCATCAATTTTTCTTTGAATGGTTGCACTAATTGTGGTTGTGCTGATAATTTTTCACCAGATATAGACAGCAGTCGAATTCCATATCTTGTTTTGAATCGTTGTAGCCAGCCATCACTAGCTACGAAATTTTCAGTTTCTTTCAGTTTTTCATTCAACAGTCTCGCTCTCTGTTTAAGTACTTCGCCACTAACTGGGACATGATTTTCCCGTTGTTTCAAAAACCACTTATACAGGGAATTTTCCATTTTAGGTGCCTTCGCATTTTTTAAAGTTTTTCTTTTTCCCGGACCTCCAAATGTATTGGACGTTCTTTGTAAAATTTGAGTTTTCATACGCTTTTGTTGCTTTCGATACTCCATATTTTTTTGCTAACTGTGTCACTCTCGCACCTAGTGCAACTTCGTCTATGATTTTCACTTTCTCACTCAACTTCACTTTCTTTTATAGGATGTGGATGCCAAAGTCGTAAAACATATTAACGCGTGCAATGTATTCACTTAAGTTCAAAAATGAAATACATACGTACGTATAAACGTATCCTAAACGATCATACGACTGACCGAGTTTGTCGTATTTTATCGCAGAGGTGAATCCCCTACACTCTACATCATAAATCGGGGACTCCCCGACGCCCGACATAAATCATCGAGGCTTCAGCATTTTACCGTCGCGCTGTTTCCGTGCGCCGAGAGTTGTTTACGTTATCGAACGTACACATTGTTTACGTTATCGCGCGTTCCGTTGATCCTATAGAACGAAGTTTGTGTTTACATTAGCGCAAGTTTTCATTATCCCGTGTTTACGTTATCCAGCGTCTGCTGTATTTAACTTTTTTCTGCAACAAGAATAACAATGGTCCAAGTACAGATGCTTTTAGAACACCACGCAAAATTGTGGTGACAGTAGATCTGCAATTTTTTTATTGTGTTTCACAAATTGCTGTCTTACAGACAGGCTAAACTTAAGAAGCTGCACACTGAATGGAGCCATGGATTAAAAAGGAAACTTTGACAGTAGTATCTCATGCTGCGCACAATCAAAGCCTTCAGTTAG